ATTTTATGAGAACTCTTGAAATTCGATCGGGTCACGTTTAGTGATTACAATAGTTAACAGCACAAGGCTTTGAGGAATGCAAATGATTTTTTTTGTTTTTAATTGGACCTCTCTACCTGAAAATCATCTCTGAAATGTAACTTACAAAAATCAATAAAACAGTTATTAATTTCAAATGCTTTTATTTGCGTTTATGAATATGGACAATGTTTTCTGAAAGCAAAACATTTTTTCGTTGAAAAATGAATTTTTAATACAATTTGTAATTTGTTTAATTATAATAGATTTTTATATTTAAGATGTTAAAATATTATAAAATTAGTTAAAAGCCGCAACCGCTTTCGTAAGTGTCCTTATGAGATAGATCATTTTAGCGCGTTGTAAATTGCATCGTTTTGACTAATCAAAAGACACGCAGTAATTAAAAATGTAATTTATAATTACAACCCGATTATAAACACTAAAGTACGGAAGACCAACCAGAATACAAGTTGCGTTATTTTAGTTAAGCATTTTTCTCCTGTTGAGGTCTTTACTTTTGCGAAACACGTGTGGAGAAGTTGATTTTTTTTTTATTTCAACTGAGAAGGGTACCTACAAGTATCAGTATCCTCTTATGAATATTATGATTTTTATATTAATCTCAGTTATGACATTTTTCCATAAATGAAATATCAAAAATTAATTAAAAAAATGAATGGAAATACAAATGACACAGCAAAATGTAGTAAAAGTATATAAAATTATAGCTTTTATGTACACTTCTGATAAGAAAGGCACCTATAAATTAGATACCTTCCCTATGAAATTTAATGTCACTCTTAATAATCTTATTTTAAATTCTTTATAATATATTTTCCATAAACATCGTAAACGTATTGGTGAAAGTTAAGTACAAAAAAAAATAGTGCGCTGTCAAGTGACGCGAACGTGTATGACCTGCTTTGTTTTATTTTCAAATTACATCTTTTCGACGCAGAAGCGAAGTTAAGCTTGGTTCAAAATATTTTAAGTAAACATAAGTTCTGAGTTTTTTAAAATAAGTTTTGAAAAAATGATGATTGATTTTTAAAAGAATTTCAAACTGAGATCTTTTTTTTTCTTTTTTTTTTTATAAAATGGAAAAAAATGGTTACCATGATCGATTATCTGTCAATTTTGCTGACTCAAAAAAAAAAAAGAAAAAAAAAAAGAATTTTAACGAAAAATTCGTACGTGCTAGGAACAATTAAAAATGTAAAGAAATACCCAAAAATACTTTGATCTTTTCTCTTAATAATAACAAACATTTACACGATAAAATTTGGTTTTCCTCAAGTTTGGCGTCTTTTTCATCATGCTATGCTGTTTTTAGCGATCTCGTAGAGGAAAGCTAATTTAAATTTTACTATTCAAGTAAATATTTATAAAGGAAAACATAATTGACAAATGTTGATTTAGGGACCATGAGGATTTTCAAATATTCTGTGCAGATAAGAGGATTTTCTGTATTTTGACGCTTGTACTTGTTAAACTTTACAGCAGTCGATGGATTAAATGAGATTCATAACTGAAATTCGAATATATGGAAAGGATGACGAATATAGAAAGCGGCACATGTTGGATTCTTGTGATTGGTTCGAATATGAGAAATAAAATAAAGGTCATGATCCGTGCAAGATTTTCTGATAAAGCCGTATCCAAAAGAAATCATTCTAGAAAGAAATACAATCACATCTGTTGCCGAAATGGAAAAAAAAAGACACATCTGAAAATAATATTGAAATAAGTCACATCGAGATTCAGAACTTTAATTTTAATTTCTGCTGCGTAATTTCAATTTAGGATTTTAAAACCAATTAAATGAAAAAGGCTTAATATAATTAATAAAAAAAAAAACTAAAACAAGAAAAAACACTTAATCACTGAATTTAAAATATTGCTTAATAACACAAAATTATCTTCGTTGCACAATCTTTCTGAATTTCTCAATTTTCATCTCAGGGCTTGAATAAATCTGAACATTACGTCCATTAAACATATATGGTCAATTATTTAATTTTATTATATTTGATAGCGTTTAACTAGATTTTCGTAGTAGAGCAAAATTAACTTGAAATACTTCCCCAATTTTACAGAGATTAATCGTATTCTTTATAAAAAACAAAAAGAACTGAGGAATGAGAATTTACTTCACATATAAAATATACAGATTTTTGCCATCGGATGCCAAAATAAAAGCAAGGTAACCCAAAAAGGAAGTGGGAGGGCTAAGTCGGATGCTACGTCTACCAATTGCTTCTGTATTTTTAATCGATCCTCCAACAAAACTAACATTTCAAGACGTATTATCCTACTGGAAACAGTTTTGTTTAAATTTGGAATAAACATTTTTATTTTCTCTAGTATGTATTTTCTGGAATGACAATAACTAACCTTTGCATCAGATAAGGTATAACATTTTATAAATTAAACAGTAAAGATTAAACGTTCTTAATTTTAAAAAAAATAATGGTAGTATATATTTATACAAATGATATAGCTCGGGCAATTACCATTGTCATATATTGAGTACTAATACGGTCTTCAGTTTTTTTTTTTTTCGCTTTCAGCAAAAATCGAATGTGTAACTTTTCCCAGTCGCCATTAGCACATTGGAGGAAATATAACGTAACATTTTTCAAGCTTTTTATATCAATTTATGTAAAAATGGAACATTTTGAGATTTGGAAAACGAACAAGTGGCGATTAGTGATTTTTTTTTTTTTTTATATATATATATATATATATATATATATATATATATATGATCAGTCGTAGGTGTCGTGACGTAAAAGCGAGCAGATAATTTTGCGACATCTTAAGTTGCACAGAAATTCTAGCATCATTGCCCACGTGCTAGGCATTTCACACACAGAAAATATCTATATTGACAAAATCTATACTTATTTTATTCTGACCGAGTTTCTCATTTTATGAAATGTTTTATTCGGTGGAGCTAACTCTGACATTCATGAGTCTATCACGCCAATCATCACTTCCCAGCATCATTAAGGCGTCATCCTGTGTTATTATGTAGTTGATTAATGCAGGTAGTTGCTACGCGGTCAACTCGCCTTCCACCATGGTTAGGTGCCAAGTCCATTCGATTACCCGCATTTTCTTGTTTTGATCACCGGCAGCGTCTTGCTAAACGCATTCTGCGTTCACGTAAGATTGTAGAAATAAAGTAATGAGTCCATTGAGCTGCGATTTCTTTGGATTTCGTCTTCAACTGATGTTATGTATAGCTGTCAGCATTCGTATGATCCATGATTCGAGGTTTTTAATAATACCCAAGCATGATCCTCGCATATTAAAACCGTCTCTACAGTAGAGCAAATGTAGCTCCATTTGAGGTTGTCTGTTCGATCATATTTCCACATTACATCTATTGTATTCAAGCAGCCCAGACTTCAGCTATGTGGATTTTCACATCCTCGATACTATTTATTTCGCTTCCTCGTTTTGTAAAAGATTCGACAGATTTTATTGATTCTACTAAGACGGTTTGTGTTGAGCCGTTCTGGTTGAAGCCTATGAATTCACTTTTAGAGGCATTGCCATGAGTCAAACATCGTCTGAAGGGAGAGGTAGGTCATTTGCATAGTCAATTTCTGTTAACACTTCTGCAGGATATCGACTTGTCTTAGAGTAAAACTTTGTTTATCAAATGATGTTCTCAATGCTGCACAATGATCGCAAATTATGTAGCTTTAGTCATAAATGGGAAATGCGTTAAATGTTTCAGATCCACACAGAACTAATAGATATTAAATAATATAGGAATGATTGAATCTATAAGCAGGTATTTTTTTACACTGTTTTCTTAATGACATACAATAAAAAATGGTAGATTCAAATTCAAATATTTTTACGATTTAATAGGTTTAGAAAAGCTAAATATATTTCTTAGAATTTAAATGTTGGTCATGGTTAAAAAAGACAATGGTCAATACTGTATATTCGGTCGCTGTCTGATTCGGTCGTTGCCTGGATACAGTGACTTGACCTCAGAGTTTTGAGTGAAAAACCTGGCTACTGCAGTGGTGAACAAAAAATTGGAGAATTAAAGGGTGATAATTGAGATATCCTGAAGAGGCATGGCACGTCGAACTAGGCCAATCTACCCTGATGGGCCGAATAATGGTTTCAGTTTGAAATTCCAATTACCTGAAGAAGGCGGGTGGGTTCAAGGGCTGAAACGTTGTGAATATGGAAATAAACATGTGAACAGCCCGAACAATGTAAATTGTGTAAAGGCGATGAAATATATTGTAAATTCTTGGATAAAAATGTAAAGACCAACAGATTTTCATAAACTTGGAAATAACTGGCACATTTTTAACATTTTTCATCCGTTACCTTTGTATGATTTCCTTTAAAATTATCCCCTATCAAGCTTCTATTCTACAGTAAGATGTACCATTTATTTTTAAAAAAATCACTTGCATATTACTGATTTATTATCGCTTGCCAAAAATCGTCATGTAATATAAAATTTGTGTTGCACCATCTATTATAACAGAAAAAATTATATGCTTGCGTTCTTTTTTCTTCGCATTTTTTTAATTATTTCTCCTTTGAGATCCATCTTATTTGGGTTTTATGAAATTTCTCTTACTTCGCGTTAACTTACGTAAATTTGTTTCTCGTTTGTATTCTGCGAGATATATCTTTTGGCATCGCAGTAACAACTGATATTACCAAGTCATCCATCAAGGGAAAGTACATTTCTGGCTATAAATCGCATTCTTCTAGCGAACATTTATCAAATCCGCCGTTCTTCCCCACTAAGGAATCGGGCATGCAGCCTTCCTTCTGACATATTATTCGATTGGACTGAAAAGTTACGTGAAAAAGCAGTTTACGTCACATGATCCAGTTTTCCGTTAGCTTCAATAATGAAACATCTACAATGCTGGTATTATCGCCATGATTACACTGGGGGCATTATTAGAGCTCAAGTGACGGCAAGTCAGATCTATACGCCTGCATTATACACCTACGTTCGCACTCTGTCTGGGCCTACTACGTTCGCGCTCTGTCTGGGCCTACTACGTTCGCACTCTGTCTGGGCCTACTACGTTCGCACTCTGTCTGGGCCTAAAAAAGTTCGCACTCTGTCTGGGCCTCTATAGCCTCTGTAAACAGCCTACGTTAAAACTCTAGATGGAGAAACTACGTTCGAACTCTGTCTGGGCCTATATCGTTTCGCCTCTGTCTGGGCCTACTACGTTGAATTCTGTCTGGGAGGACTACGTTCGCACTCTGTCTGGGCCTACAAACGTTGAAAGAATTCTGTCTGGGCCTGAAGTTTTTCGCTTCTGTCTGGGCCTACTACGTTCGCACTCTGTCTGGGCCTAAAATATTTCGCACTCTGTAAAAAAAAAAAAAAAAAAAAAAAACGTTCGCACTCTGTCTGAAAAACATACGTTCGCACTCTGTCTGGGGTAGCAATGAGAAATGATAATGTAATGAAGCCCTAGTGACAAAAACTCTGTCTGGGATAAAAAAATTAATGCAACATTTTCTGGGCCTACTACGTTTTTGTCCACTCTGTCTGGGCCTACTACGTTCGCACTCTGTCTGGGCCTACTACGTTCAAACCACTCTGTCTGGGCCTACTACGTTCAAACTCTGTCTGGGCCTACTAAAAAAAAACTCTGTCTGGGCCTACTAAAAGGGCACTCTGTCTGGGCCTACTACGTTCGCACTCTGTCTGGGCCTACTACGTTCGCACTCTGTCTGGGCCTACTACGTTCGCACTCTGTCTGGGCCTACTACGTTCGCACTCTGTCTGGGCCTACTGACATTGCGATCTGAATACGTTCATCTTTGTGTTTATAATTATTCAAATATTTTTGCAAATTATTTTGGAATACTTTCCTAGAGTGACTCGACATTGGACAAATATTTTTGCTCTTTTTAGCTGTTTAGACATGTATTCCGCTTTTATTTATTATACGACTAATTTCAATGATCTGCTGGGACGAAAGAAAATCAACTGAAATATTCTTTTTTTGTCGTTTATTTTGTCTACTATTAAGGTTATGGAAGGTAGAAGCCGAGAGCCAAGTTAAATTCCGGCTTAAATTATGTTCACTTTCTTACTATTGCAATTCAGAAAGGCATGAATCCAACTTCCCCTGCCTTTCAAACGATTTATGATAAATAGTAGGGTAATCTTATTTTCAAACCGGTGAAAAAAGGCACTCAAGAAACAACTATGTAAATTTTCCAAGATGCCATGATCATTCACGGAGGAAAAAGAAAAAAAAATCCATGGAAAGTGAGGATCGCCTACTTCCTGAAGGGATATTGCATAAAAAAAGTCTGGATCTTCTTTCAAAACTTGGATTGCGTTTATTTTTCTTTCTCAATAGTAAAACAACTATGCCGAGTATCCAATCCAGTCATGGTTGATGCAAGGGTATCGTGCCCTCCATTGGTAGTTAATATGCTCCCCACTCTAATAAATTTCAATATTCAAGATAGTATTTGTCGTAAACTAGGTAACGTTAGTGAATCGAAGTATCAAACGAAGGTTGGCAATGAACGATAATACTTCGGACAAGAACAACACATAAGATTCGCCAGCGGAGCGTAGAAGTAGTAATCAACTACTAGGAGTGGATTAAGTGAATTACACAATAAATCTCCAACTGCAGGATATCTTCTAACCGCCCAACGCGGACAGATGTGGCACATGGACGAACTTAATGTGGTGTATCTGAGCCCGGAGGCTGAGCCAAAAATTCCCTTATAAAACGGAGTCGGGTAGTTGTTTCCCGGGACGAGACTCTGCCCTTGGTCATAGCTTCGTCTGAGGATCCTCTCTGCCCGGAGGCAGAGAGTTTATCTAGCACAGCTGGAGACGAATCCCTAACTGCAGACAAACATACAGTATTTACTACTGTATTTATGTGAATGGGGGCATACCGATTATCGTCCGTAGGTATGCTACAATAGCATTTATATAAAATACATATTTTACTGTAAACTAATTATGTACGATAATTGATCATATGCGATATAGTTGAAAAATTCAACTAGAAGAAAAAAATTCTATCTACAAATTAGACACCTCTTAATAGATCGTTCCTTCTTAAATGTTTTTTCGGCAATTATCGACTTCAATTTTGGAATATTTTAAGACATTCAGTATTCTGAATAAATGTTATGTATATTATTTTCTCTAAACGGATTTGGATGAAAAAGAAATATAAGTCAGTTCAGCTTACTTTAATTTGTAAGGTATATAAATATAGGTAGAAAAAAAAAAGCAAATTTAAAACCTTGAGGTCTAGGTACCAGGTGGTTGAGCTTAGAACTGCCATGAAAATATTTATAGAAAAAGTTACATTTATCTGTTCATTGAAACTTATATATATATATATATATAGGTACCTCCACAAAATCGCTAAAAAAGAGCATAGCTTGATGAAAAAGACGCCAACCTTGCCGAAAACTAAATTTTATTGTCTAAATGCTTATGTTATTATTAAGAGGAAAGACCAAAGTTTTTTTAATTAATTTTTTAAAAAATTTCCTTTTAGAACATTCTAAATTTTGATTAAAAATACCTTTTTTCTATTTGTATCAGCGGAACTAGTAAATAACATAGACAATTTTTAGCACGTTTTTTGGTATGTATGACACATTAATTTGAAAAATCGTGCAAAAATAGAAATAATTATCGGATGTTGAAACATTCAGGAACTATTCACAGATGATCGAAATTATTATAAATGTTTTTTTTTATGAAAGTCATGGTAGAAATATTTTAAAAAAATATTTATTACCCCCCCATAACTAATTTTATGAAAACGCTAGAAATTCGATCGCATCGGTTTTAGTGATTACAATAATTAAAAGCACAGGGCTTTGAGGAATGCAAATCATGTTTTTTTTTGTTTTTAATTGGATACGCAATACCTGAAAATCAGCTCTGAATTGTAACATACAAAACTCAATAAAACAAAGATATTATTTAATTTCAAATGCTTTTATTTGCTTTTAGTTGTTTTTATGAATATGGAAAATATTTTCGATGAAAAATGAATTTTTAATACAATTATTTGTTATTTCATTAATTATAATACATTTTACATTTAAGTTGTTAAAATATTATAAAATTAGTTAAAAGCCGCATCGGCTTTCATAAGTGTCCTTATGAGATAGATCTTTTTTTAGAGCGTTGTAAATTGTATCATTTTGACTAATCAGAAGATCCACAGTAATTAAGAAATGTAATTTTGTGCTTATAATCGAGCTGTAATTATAAAATACGGAAGACCAACCAGAATATAATAAAGTTGCGTTATTTGAGTTAAGCATTGTTCTCCGCTGTTAAGGCCCTTACTTTTGCGAAACACGTGTGGAGAAGTTAATTTGATTTTTCAATTTCAACTGAGAAGGGTACCTACAAGTATCAGTATCATCTTATGAAATTTATATGATCTTATTTTTATATTAATCTCAGTTACGACATTTTTCCATAAATGAAATATCAAAATTAATAATAAAATGAATGCAAATATAAATAACAGTAGAATGTAATAAATGTACATAAAATTATAGTATTTTATGTACAATTCTGATAAAATTTCATAAGAAAGGTACCTATAAATTAATTAGATACCTTTCTTAAGAAATATGAAATTTAATGTCACTCTTAACAGTTTTATTTTAATTTCTCTACAATATATTTCCCATAAAGCATCATAAACGTAAAGGTGAAAGCTAAGTACAAAAAAAAATTAGACCGCTGAAAGTTTTCGTTAAAAATAACGGGGTAAATAATTTGTTCACGTAAATGTAAATTATTTCACTTTTCTCCTTCCGTAGAACAAATTAGCCTCCTGGAATTCGTAAATACATCATTCATCACATGTCAAGAGACGCGAAAGTTTATGACCTGCTTTGTTTTATTTTCAAATTACATCTTTTTGGCACAAAAGCTAAGTTAAGTTTGGTTCAAAATATTTTAAATAAACATTTTAATTTCTGATTTTCTTAAAATAAGTTTTGAAAAAATGATAATTGATATTTAAAAAAATTTCAAAGTCAGATTTCCAGTTTTTTTTTTAAAATGGAAAAAAATTGTAAATTTTGCTGACCCCAAAAAAACTAGATTTTTAACGAAAATTTCGGACGTGCTAGGAACGATTAAAAAAGGGAAAAAATACCCCCAAAATACTTTGACCTTTCCTCTTAATAATAACAAACATTTAGACGATAAAATTGTTTTCGTCAAGTTTGGCGTCTTTTTCATCATGCTATGCTCTTTTTTTAAGCTATCTCGTGGAGGTACCTACTATATATATATATATATATATATATATATATATATATATATATATATATATATATATATATATATACCTAGTGAGCCAGACAAACCTACCCAGGTTTCACCTAAGCGGATCGTCAGGGAAATTCGGTTGTATTGAGCTCTTTTGTTAGTTGTTTACCCGTATCGGGTTTTTTTCTTTGGGCTTCAAACCTGTACGATTTTTTTTTTTCGACAGACTTTCATGTTTGTAGCTCTTTCATTTTTTTTTTTAAAACCTTTTTTCCCTCGAGATTGATTTGATTGGCAAATCAAAAATTCGAGGGTTTTTCTAAACGAGTATAGTTATCTCTCTCATATATATATATATATATATATATATATATATATATATACACAACGGCAACTTTTACTTCTTTCTTTTCCCGTTCTGCACGTGAACTTCATGTACCTGTACAGTTTCACTAGGCAAAAACCTTCCTATAGTGTCATGTCTATTTTCGCACACCATGTTTTCATCTTATGCGTTTGTCAATTTGTTGACAATTTCTTTGTGAATTTAGTATAATGAAATACTTATGAAAAACTCAGAAATCGCAATTATGAGTACAAATGACAAAAATGTCACAGCAGTCTCTCAAACGTTCGTCCTGATTATAGCTATGTTGTTTAGAACTGGTTGTAATTGTAAAAAAAAAAAAACATAGCGTAATTCTTTTGATAGTCATGTACCTTTAGGACGTTGGTGATCACGTTTCTTTTCAACTCCGTGTCCTTTGTAGCACTTAGGAAATTTTGTCTTCTTGCTGTCTCACCTAAACCCTGATCTGTAATCCATTTACACAAGCTCGTTAAGTAGGTTATGCGTGGTTTTCCTCTATTCATCTTCCCTTCAATCTGTCATGTGAGTATCATATATTTGAAGCCGTCTTTCCTCACTATGTGCCCTAGAAATATCAAGTCTCTAATGTTAAATATGTATCCGTTTTCGTTCAATGTTCTCTAAAACAACATCGTTGCTTACATGTTCAGTCCATGGTATCCTCAGTATCCTTCTGTTGAGACACATTTCTGTTAGTTGTTTTTCTTTATATTGTTGAGCATTCTGTCACAACTGAAATTGTGTAACAGGTCAGTACACTTCATTTTTTCCGAACGAGATGTTTCTGTGTCTAAATATATTCTTGGATTTTACATGGCCTATTTTGCTACCCTAATCCGCCCTCGGATTTACGTATCGTAAGTTCTGTTCCGTTATATGACAAGTTGTCTTGTTTCTTAGTCTTGAATATAGAAAGTAAGTTACACTCTGCCAATACTTCCGAAATAACGGACTATACATTTTTGATATAAGTATAAAACAGACGCAGGAATGATGAAGGACGGAAGAGCGTTTGCAATACGTTGAAGGGAGGAAGGAAGGAAGGGCGTTTGTAATACGTTGAAGGAAGGAAGGAAGGAAGGAAGGAAGGGCGTTTGCAATACGTTGAAGGAAGGAAGGAAGGGCGTTTGCAATACGTTGAAGGAAGGA